GTGTTTCACTTTCCTTCTTATGATGTCTTCCACGAAACCATTGGAGAAGCCGTTGTTGACTAGGACCTGCCTTACCCTACAGAGTTCTTCGTCGACTTGCTTCCATTCTGAGCTGTGGCTGAGAGCACGGTCGACATATGCGTTAACAACACTCCTCTTGGAAGACATCATAAGAAGGAAAGTGAAACGCCATGCAACCTCTGAAGAGACAACTAACACAACACCTATACCCCCTATTAGACTATTTTACAGGAACTTCTTTTCCACAGCTCATAAAACGGAGGAAAGGGTCCTGAAAGATATTGTTAATAGAAACGTTATCCCTACAGACAAAAATCAGAAGATACAACTGACAATTTACTATAAAACCAGAAAAACGGCCAGCCTACTCATGAGAAACTCTCCAGACACAAAACAGAACGCTTTAAAAGAGACTAACGTCGTCCATGCCTTCAAATGCCCTCTTGGGGACTGTAAGCTCCAAAAAACCCAGTATATAGGCAAGACAACAACATCTCTTTCTAGGCGTTTAACGATGCATAAGCAACAGGGCTCCATTAAGGAACATATAATCTCTTCCCACAACCAAACCATCGCCAGAGAAATCCTAGTAAACAACGCAGAAATCATCGATAGATACAGCGATAGCAGACGGCTTGACGTTTGCGAGGCACTACACATTAAGAAGTCAACACCAGCAATCAACAGCCAATTAATGCACAACTATATTCTACCCACCTCAAGACTCCGCTCCAATATAGAAGCATCAAGAAATATGGACCAATAGGCTTTCTACAATCACTTCTATTCAATACCCATTGTTTCGTGTTCTGTCTTGTGTTGAAGAAATTAATACCCTATTAATACCACCTCTTGTTCTGTCTTGTGTTGATGAAATTAATACCCTATTAATGCCACCTCACCCCATCCACCTCTCTCAAATGTAGATATAAAAACGGAGATGCGTAAGTTCTATTCAGTTGTGTATTTGTAAACTAAAGTCTTTGAAAATGTAATAAGTTTTACGAAACGCGCTCGTGTCGCGTCAGACTAGAAATAAAAATGAATTTTGGAGAATTGATTTTTGATTTACCTTTTACAACAGTGAAAAGAAATGTACGAAAGATTGAAAAAATTCGTGTTAGAATTATTAATCTTACTTTTTCCGTCATATTTAATAATATATATATATATATATATATATATATATATATATATATATATATATATATACGTCCCTTTGTCCTCCCCACCATCCCCCACTACACTGTCCCCTCGTCCGTCAGCTCCTATTGGTCCATACGAGGCAGCTCCTATTGGTCCATACGAGGCAGTCATGACCTTATGAACCATACCATCGCTGGCTAACCAAAGCCTGGAACAATTTTCAATAAGTGTCTTGGGGTAAGTTTAAAAGTCTGGTTAAAACAACGTCAGTTTACTGAGACATAAACAGGTCACCGTAAAACACACAGAACTAACAGTCTCTATAAACAACTGATGTACACAACTTATACTTTCATCAGAACCAGGAGCTTCAATACAGCGAGGAAGAGCCCAAGGACTGGACGCCTATTCTGACCTGCCACCGACCAGGTCGGCCCAGAACGACTGGTCCCAACTGTTCCCAACCCAGAACGACTGTTACGGGAGCCGGTCGACCGACAGGACATCACGCGGGATTTGTGATCCTGTGGTCCTGGGTTCGATCCCAGGCGCCGGCGAGAAACAATGGGCAGAGTTTCTTTCACCCTATGCCCCTGTTACCTAGCAGTAAATTAGATACCTGTGTGTTAGTCAGCTGTCATGGGCTGCTTCCTGGGGGTGGAGGCCTGGTCGAGGACCGGACCGCGGGGACACTAAAGCCCCGAAATCATCTCAAGATAACATAGCAAGTCACGCCAACCTTCCTCCTACGCATAACACAAGCTCAAAACATAAATATTTACATGTAGTTCATACTGTACCTAATTAGATATATACATAATATGTTATACTCAAATTCTATGTCAGTTGAAATGTAACCAATGACAGGCAAGTAGGCCTCTGACGTCATGCCAGACAGAGGAGCATCAGCCATGCTTCCAGCAGCCTCAGTTATCCTCACAAACTAATAAATATAATACAATATATACAAAACCTCAAGGTACATATGAATATGTAACAATATGTGCTAAACACATAAGGGTGTCATTTGTATGTATATCTGACAATACTAACTTTAATACAATATTCGCATACCTCAAGTGCCGTATATTCGCATACCTCAAGTATATAGGTGTATGACCAACCACAAGCTTCTGCTATTTCACAATAGATTACTAATACAAGAGTAAGCTAAACAAGTAATATGTGACTATATAGTTTGACTGTAACCTACACTTACACTATATATTTACACTGGTGTATGGGTGGTCATGACATCCTCCATAACATTCCCCACTCCCCCGTCCCCTCCTCCTCCCCACCATTCCCAACTCTCCCGTCCCTTCGTCCTCCCCACCATCCCAACTCCCCCGTCCCCTCGTCCTCCCCACCATCCCCAACTCCCCCGTCCCCTCGTCCTCCCCACCATCCCCAACTCTCTCGTCCCCTAGTCCTCCCCACCACCTCTCACTTCCATCCCCTCGTCCTCCCCACCATCCCCACTCCCTCGTCCGATGCCTTCCCAAATGGTCTGATGTTCCCATCAGAAAATTGGGAATATCAAATAATCTGATGTTCCCATCACTGAAATATAAGAAAAACAATTAAAAAAATGAAATGAAAAATAATGAAAAATACAAAAAATAAACTATACTCATGAAATTAACGTATAGTAAGCACCACAACTCAATTCCAATGCAATGTCACACAAAATAATTAAATGAAAATGAAAATAAATCAAAATCTATAAAAATTAAATTTATGAATGCAATTCGAAACATTGAAATGAAATCATAACATATTTATTATAGCATGTGTTGCTTTTACGTCAACAGATGATGCTGTTAAAAAAAATATCTTTTTATCTGTCACAAGTGTGGCATCTATATGGTAGGTATATAAAAACACGTGCGTTTTCGAATGCAACGTTGTGTCAAAATTTCAAAGCAATCGGGGAAGAACGTTCGGAGATTAGTGATTTTGAACAAACAGACAGTTACATTTTTACTTATATAGATATATATATTAGTATATTTTGGTAGCAGTCTTTCTTTTAAATATATTTCGTTGAAAACAACAGAAAGTTTTAGATTTATGATTCTGGCTCAAATCTTCTCGATATTCCTTATGTTTTTCTTCACTGAAGCAGGAAGCTGCAAAATTAACTCCTCAAAGGTCATTTTAACATTTTATTTGTGTCTGACGCCTAGTAATGTGTTTGGTAAGGTCTCACCTCACCTTCTTAAAGACAAATTCTACCGTTTAAGCACCTGGTTATATCCTCCTATGGTGAGGTGGTTAGGTGACTAATGGGTGAATGACGTTACAATGTTATTATTAAGAAGGTATTAAATGTATCAACATAGAGTGTGACATGTTGCCAGCTTATGTTCTTCTAGCTGCTTCCGTTCCTGTTGCAGTGTCACTCCGTCCTGCTGCTGCGGTGCTCCGTGTCACTCCGTCCTGCTGCTGCGGTGGTCCAGCGTCACTCTACCCACTTCAAGACCCCCCCCCTCCTCCCCCCACTACACACACCCTGACACTCACACTGGTGTACAATACTCTCACCCCCCCCCCCCCCGCCCCCACCGCGGCTACACACTCCCTAACAACTAAACGAGGCGGCTACGATAAGATAAGACAAGACAAGGATAAACCTTACTATAACAACGACCCAATTAGGCAAGACAATGTGCGCCTCGCTGCCACACACACGACTCCACATCTGGCTCTGCTGGTCAAGACAATGTGCGCCTCGCTGCCACACACACGACTCCACATCTGGCTCTGCTGGTCAAGACAATGTGCGCCTCGCTGCCACACACACGACTCCACATCTGGCTCTGCTGGTCAAGAGATCCTAACGCACATGTGACTTACAAGAGAACTGAGGAAAGATGATTGCCGATATATGACAATTTAAAGCAATGTTTGTATTTTATAAAGTATTTTAAATATAAATTAGTCATTAGGCTATTTATATATAAGAGGATGTCGCTGTCCACGGCCGGAGGTTAGATGCTAAGGGCTAGCCTCAAAAACTGTGCAGGGTGACTGATGGGTGTGTGGGACAGTCATAGGGGGTATAGGCCCTTATGTTCCTACTTTTTGAAGTTGGTGGAGGTGGAAGTCTCGCAGCCGAGTTAACAGTTTTATCATTTCTTCATTATGTTATTTAGATGAGAGGGCAACACCCACCCTCTACACACTGCCGAGATGGCGGATCCAGGCTTGTACACATGTACGCTATGGGATCTCCCCCAGGTGTCCTGTGTGCGAATTTTTACAAGGGCACCATAGAGAAGAGGGTCTTAGTTGACATGGACTTGAAACCCGCCATATACTGCAGGTATGCTGACGACATATTTATGCAGGTACCTGATGCCAGCCATCTGCAGCAGTTGAAGGAGGTATTCGAGCAGAATTCGGTGTTACGTTTCACTTACGAGATGGAGAAGGATGGAAGGCTGCCCTATCTAGATGTAACAGACACGGAAAGGAACGGAGGCTTCCACACTGCAGTCTACACTAAGGAAACATACATAGGAATGTGCCTTAATGCCAACAGTGACTGCCCAGACAGGTACAAGAGGAGTGTTGTCAATGCTTACATCGACCGGGCTCTCAGCCACAGCTTTGGTTGGAAGCAGGTCGACGAGGAACTCTGTAGAGTAAGGCAGGGCCTAGTCAACAATGGCTTCTCTAACGGTCATGTTGAAGACGTCATTAAAAGAAAGGTGACACACCATGCAACCTCTGAAGAGTCAACTAACACAACACTTGTACCTCCTATTTGATAATAGGGGTAAGATATTATTGATAGGAACGTTATCCCCACAGACACCATTCAGAAGATGCAGTTAACAATTTACTACAAAAACAAGAAGACTGCAAACTTGCAGAGTGAACACAAGCAGGGTGAACACAAGGTGAGTGAACACAAGCAGGGTGAACACAAGCAGGGTGAACACAAGCAGGGTGAACACAAGCAGAGTGAACACAAGCAGAGTGAACACAAGCAGGGTGAACACAAGCAGGGTGAACACAAGCAGAGTGAACACAAGCAGGGTGAACACAAGCAGGGTGAACACAAGCAGAGTGAACACAAGCAGGGTGAACACAAGCAGGGTGAACACAAGCAGAGTGAACACAAGCAGGGTGAACACAAGCAGAGTGAACACAAGCAGGGTGAACACAAGCAGGATGAACACAAGCAGAGTGAACACAAGCAGGGTGAACACACAAGCAGTGAACAGTAACAACCAGTGACAGTAACACACAGTGAACACAAGTAAGTGAACACAAGCAGACAGTAACACCAGTGACAGTAACCACCAGTGACAGTAACACAAGCAGTGACAGTAGGGTGACAGCGGTGGTAACCAAGTGACAGTAACCACCAGTGACAGTAACCACCAGTGACAGTAACCACCAGTGACAGTAACCACCAGTGACAGTAACCACCAGTGTGAGTAACCACCAGTGACAGTAACCACCAGTGACAGTAACCACCAGTGACAGTAACCACCAGTGACAGTAACCACCAGTGACAGTAACCACCAGTGACAGTAACCACCAGTGACAGTAACCACCAGTGACAGTAACCACCAGTGACAGTAACCACCAGTGACAGTAACCACCAGTGACAGTAACCACCAGTGACAGTAACCACCAGTGACAGTAACCACCAGTGACAGTAACCACCAGTGACAGTAACCACCAGCGACAGTAACCACCTCCCACACGCACCACCTCTGACAGTAACCACCAGTGACAGTAACCACCAGTGACAGTAACCACCAGTGACAGTAACCACCAGTGACAGTAACCACCAGTGACAGTAACCACCAGTGACAGTAACCACCAGTGACAGTAACCACCAGTGACAGTAACCACCAGTGACAGTAACCACCAGTGACAGTAACCACCAGTGACAGTAACCACCAGTGACAGTAACCACCAGTGACAGTAACCACCAGTGACAGTAACCACCAGTGACAGTAACCACCAGTGACAGTAACCACCAGTAAACCACCAGTGACAGTAACCACCAGTGACAGTAACCACCAGTGACAGTAACCACCAGTGACAGTAACCACCAGTGACAGTAACCACCAGTGACAGTAACCACCAGTGACAGTAACCACCAGTGACAGTAACCACCAGTGACAGTAACCACCAGTGACAGTAACCACCAGTGACAGTAACCACCAGTGACAGTAACCACCAGTGACAGTAACCACCACCAGTGACAGTAACCACCAGTGACAGTAACCACCAGTGACAGTAACCACCAGTGACAGTAACCACCAGTGACAGTAACCACCAGTGACAGTAACCACCAGTGACAGTAACCACCAGTGACAGTAACCACCAGTGACAGTAACCACCAGTGACAGTAACCACCAGTGACAGTAACCACCACCAGTGACAGTAACCACCAGTGACAGTAACCACCAGTGACAGTAACCACCAGTGACAGTAACCACCAGTGACAGTAACCACCAGTGACAGTAACCACCAGTGACAGTAACCACCAGTGACAGTAACCACCAGTGACAGTAACCACCAGTGACAGTAACCACCAGTGACAGTAACCACCAGTGACAGTAACCACCAGTGACAGTAACCACCAGTGACAGTAACCACCAGTGACAGTAACCACCAGTGACAGTAACCACCAGTGACAGTAACCACCAGTGACAGTAACCACCAGTGACAGTAACCACCAGTGACAGTAACCACCAGTGACAGTAACCACCAGTGACAGTAACCACCAGTGACAGTAACCACCAGTGACAGTAACCACCAGTGACAGTAACCACCAGTGACAGTAACCACCAGTGACAGTAACCACCAGTGACAGTAACCACCAGTGACAGTAACCACCAGTGACAGTAACCACCAGTGACAGTAACCACCAGTGACAGTAACCACCAGTGACAGTAACCACCAGTGACAGTAACCACCAGTGACAGTAACCACAGTGACAGTAACCACCAGTGACAGTAACCACCAGTGACAGTAACCACCAGTGACAGTAACCACCAGTGACAGTAACCACCAGTGACAGTAACCACCAGTGACAGTAACCACCAGTGACAGTAACCACCAGTGACAGTGAACCACCAGTGACAGTAACCACCAGTGACAGTAACCACCAGTGACAGTAACCACAGTAACACCAGTGACAGTAACCACCAGTGACAGTAACCACCAGTGACAGTAACCACCAGTGACAGTAACCACCAGTGACAGTAACCACCAGTGACAGTACACCACCAGTGACAGTAACCACCAGTGACAGTAACCACCAGTGACAGTAACCACCAGTGACAGTAACCACCAGTGACCAGTACAGTAACCACCAGTGACAGTAACCACCAGTGACAGTAACCACCAGTGACAGTAACCACCAGTGACAGTAACCACCAGTGACAGTAACCACCAGTGACAGTAACCACCAGTGACAGTAACCACCAGTGACAGTAACCACCAGTGAACCACCAGTGACAGTAACCACCAGTGACAGTAACCACCAGTGACAGTAACCACCAGTGACAGTAACCACCAGTGACAGTAACCACCAGTGACAGTAACCACCAGTGACAGTAACCACCAGTGACAGTAACCACCAGTGTAACCAGTAACCACCAGTGACAGTAACCACCAGTGACAGTAACCACCAGTGACAGTAACCACCAGTGACAGTAACCACCAGTGACAGTAACCACCAGTGACAGTAACCACCAGTGACAGTAACCACCAGTGACAGTAACCACCAGTGACAGTAACCACCAGTGACAGTAACCACCAGTGACCACCAGTGAACCACCAGTGACAGTAACCACCAGTGACAGTAACCACCAGTGACAGTAACCACCAGTAACCACCAGTGACAGTAACCACCAGTGACAGTAACCACCAGTGACAGTAACCACCAGTGACAGTAACCACCAGTGACAGTAACCACCAGTGACAGTAACCACCAGTGACAGTAACCACCAGTGACAGTAACCACCAGTGACAGTAACCACCAGTGACAGTAACCACCAGTGACAGTAACCACCAGTGACAGTAACCACCAGTGACAGTAACCACCAGTGACAGTAACCACCAGTGACAGTAACCACCAGTGACAGTAACCACCAGTGACAGTAACCACCAGTGACAGTAACCACCAGTGACAGTAACCACCAGTGACAGTAACCACCAGTGACAGTAACCACCAGTGACAGTAACCACCAGTGACAGTAACCACCAGTGACAGTAACCACCAGTGACAGTAACCACCAGTGACAGTAACCACCAGTGACAGTAACCACCAGTGACAGTAACCACCAGTGACAGTAACCACCAGTGACAGTAACCACCAGTGTGAGTAACCACCAGTGACAGTAACCACCAGTGACAGTAACCACCAGTGACAGTAACCACCAGTGACAGTAACCACCAGTGACAGTAACCACCAGTGACAGTAACCACCAGTGACAGTAACAGTAACCACCAGTGACAGTAACCACCAGTGACAGTAACCACCAGTGACAGTAACCACCAGTGACAGTAACCACCAGTGACAGTAACCACCAGTGACAGTAACCACCAGTGACAGTAACCACCAGTGACAGTAACCACCAGTGACAGTAACCACCAGTGACAGTAACCACCAGTGACAGTAACCACCAGTGACAGTAACCACCAGTGACAGTAACCACCAGTGACAGTAACCACCAGTGACAGTAACCACCAGTGACAGTAACCACCAGTGACAGTAACCACCAGTGACAGTAACCACCAGTGACAGTAACCACCAGTGACAGTAACCACCAGTGACAGTAACCACCAGTGACAGTAACCACCAGTGACAGTAACCACCAGTGACAGTAACCACCAGTGACAGTAACCACCAGTGACAGTAACCACCAGTGACAGTAACCACCAGTGACAGTAACCACCAGTGACAGTAACCACCACCAGTGACAGTAACCACCAGTGACAGTAACCACCAGTGACAGTAACCACCAGTGACAGTAACCACCAGTGACAGTAACCACCAGTGACAGTAACCACCAGTAACCACCAGTGACAGTAACCACCAGTGACAGTAACCACCAGTGACAGTAACCACCAGTGACAGTAACCACCAGTGACAGTAACCACCAGTGACAGTAACCACCAGTGACAGTAACCACCAGTGACAGTAACCACCAGTGACAGTAACCACCAGTGACAGTAACCACCAGTGACAGTAACCACCAGTGACAGTAACCACCAGTGACAGTAACCACCAGTGACAGTAACCACCAGTGACAGTAACCACCAGTGACAGTAACCACCAGTGACAGTAACCACCAGTGACAGTAACCACCAGTGACAGTAACCACCAGTGACAGTAACCACCAGTGACAGTAACCACCAGTGACAGTAACCACCAGTGACAGTAACCACCAGTGACAGTAACCACCAGTGACAGTAACCACCAGTGACAGTAACCCACCAGTGACAGTAACCACCAGTGACAGTAACCACCAGTGACAGTAACCACCAGTGACAGTAACCACCAGTGACAGTAACCACCAGTGACAGTAACCACCAGTGACAGTAACCACCAGTGACAGTAACCACCAGTGACAGTAACCACCAGTGACAGTAACCACCAGTGACAGTAACCACCAGTGACAGTAACCACCAGTGACAGTAACCACCAGTGACAGTAACCACAGTGACAGTAACAGTGACAGTAACCACCAGTGACAGTAACCACCAGTGACAGTAACCACCAGTGACAGTAACCACCAGTGACAGTAACCACCAGTGACAGTAACCACCAGTGACAGTAACCACCAGTGACAGTAACCACCAGTGACAGTAACCACCAGTGACAGTAACCACCAGTGACAGTAACCACCAGTGACAGTAACCACCAGTGACAGTAACCACCAGTGACAGTAACCACCAGTGACAGTAACCACCAGTGACAGTAACCACCAGTGACAGTAACCACCAGTGACAGTAACCACCAGTGACAGTAACCACCAGTGACAGTAACCACCAGTGACAGTAACCACCAGTGACAGTAACCACCAGTGACAGTAACCACCAGTGACAGTAACCACCAGTAACCACCAGTGACAGTAACCACCAGTGACAGTAACCACCAGTGACAGTAACCACCAGTGACAGTAACCACCAGTGACAGTACACCACCAGTGACAGTAACCACCAGTGACAGTAACCACCAGTGACAGTAACCACCAGT